TCTCAGTTTCTCCCGGTGACAACACCAGTGTGTGAATGTGTGAGCGTTTGTGAGTGTGAATGGGTGAATGGCCAAATAGTGTGAAAGTGCTCTAAAGTGTGTGCTGTAAAGCGTAGAAAGGCTCTATACAAGTATAAGATCATTTACAACACCTAGAAAGACCAAGGAATTAAATTACAGTTGAAATTTCATCCACTAAGTCATCTCAGATAAATCTATTGATTTCTTAACTGTAAATCTTCATAGTATGTATTAACAACCCATAAAGATCCAACAGATGATAAAAACACATGAACATTTCAGCAGATGGATATAGGTGCGTTTTGGCTATGATTAATTGACACTGCAAATGACTTACCACCTTGGTGCTTGCTGGGATCCCGGTTTTCAGCAGCACCTTGTTCATTATCTGGCTGTGACACTTTCTGAACCTCAGGAGCTGAACGGCAAAGGTGACACTGGCATCAGTTTAACTCGAGCTAAACTGGCAGTGAGCTATCAGAAACTAGGACTGTCATGTTTCAAAAAAACATTTTTGAACAATGTTCAAACTGAAGCTTCATTCTTAATTTGAATGCAACCTCACATAACGTAATGGTACTCTGGATGGACCTGTACCGGTGTGAACATTTACCACAAGAAGCCTGGCAGCTGTTACCTTTTCCCTGCTCCAGAAGATCTGGGGGCTTCTGGCTGCCAGTGGTGCTGCTGGTGGGTCTAGGAGCTGCTGTTCCCACCTGACTCCTCTGTCCCACAGGTGCAGGTGGGGCTGGGGCAGCTGGTGGTGGGGTCTGCACTGCCTGCTCCAGGGTAGAACTTTTTGCTAAAGAGTCCAGCTGGGGAGTAGTGTGCCCTGCAGAAAACATCAAAGTGAGGTCCAAACTTTGTAATTACCTTAAAAATCAGAGGCAGTGCAGTTTGTCTTAAAGCAGGCATTTTGAGTCATGCAGCATTATCTGAATGTCAATACTGAGAAATAATTAATGTAACTCTGAACAAGAAGGCTAATTCATTATAGTGGCACTGAACACATTTAATATCCAATAAGGCCAAAAACAGCAAATATGCAGTCTTTGGTCTTATTAGAGGTGATAAAGTGTGATTGCTCAAACAATACAATAGTTTTACAACAAAGACAAAAATGCAGTATGTGTTTAGTGACTAAATCCCTATCATGCTGGTATAAATACTTCCTCCTTAGAGCAATTTCAAATGTCCAAGCTTCAATAGAACAGTATATTAGAAGTGTGCTGTACAGCTGCCTGCACTGTTCACAGTTCAAGACAACACAATGCTGTGCTTTAGTCAAACCAACAGGAATTGTGTGTTGCCCCAAACACATATCTTCCTTAAAAGTCTTTTCTGAAAATTTTCAGGATTTTGATTAATCATGGAAATGAATGTAAAATCCTTCAGCTTCTAATTGTTACATTGTTCTATACCACCTACAGACAGGTGAGGTGACAAATGAAAGGAAAAATCAACACAAAGTGTCTTAGTACAAACAGCTTCAATGCACCTTGTCTAACATGATGGTCCAAAATCTCCCACACATTACCAGTCACAAGTCTTGACACATTTCCCATTGAAGTGAATAGACACTTTGGAACAAGAACGGCTCCTACCTCCTTCTCCAACAGACCCAAACTGCTGAGCTGCAAGGGGTGTAACACCAAACTGGTTGTAAGGTGGGACAGGGGCTCTGCTGAAAGGCGCATAGGACCCTGTAGACTGGAACGATGATGCTGGCCCCACATTGGTGGATCCAATAGAAGACTACAAAAACAAATACACAGTCAATTCACAAACCCTGACCACAGTGACTGCTAAAAACAGCACTTTCTAACTAACCAGCAGTTGTAAAACTGTGTTCTTAGTTCAAAATTCTTATAATGAATTACCATGATTTAAAGTTCTTCTGAAAAGAGAAGTTGTATGAAGTTCAGTCTTATTAAACATACCGACAGAGATACCTAAACTGCAACTGAAAGTTTGCCTGTGTTGTCCATGTGTCCGTTAAGTGAAAACTTCACAGCAGACATTTTGAACTGTCACTTTGGGTAAAACATGTGTTAATAATAATAACCTTAATGATGGCTCTGTTCTAGTTGCAGGATACGGTTCTTCTTACCATTACTAACTCTGAGAGACGAGACAGTCCAAGTAACTTCAAAACAGTGCTGATTTATTCAAAGGATCACAGGTAAAATTAACATTACACGCTCAGGTATCTTCCACCTCCAAACTGCTCACAGGCAGATGTAAGATGAAAGACCCTGAACCCACCAGGCCTATACATTATATCCCCTCGGTTGGGCTAGCCCCATACTGCACAGAAACGTCAACCGGGACGTCTCTGTTACCAGCTTTGCAGCTGGTCATAGCAGTAGTCAAAACATGAAGCAAATCAATGTGTGTGTGTGTGTTGATTAAGTGGTGTGTAACTAAAAACATTCTCACACGACCTCTAGTAACATGTCGTGACTTAAACATAAGAACATATTATGGCTAAGGCTACAGTTATACACGTCATAATAATAATATTAAACACCCTGTCTGCTGACAGTCATCAACTCTTCTCTCTAGGTATCCTTGACCAGATGTACCCTGTAGAAACTCATGAGCATGACTAAGCATTTAACAGTCTAACTAGACATCCTATCTCCACTAAACATTTCTAATACATAAAGTATCTATCCAATATCTATCTGACTAAAAATACCTAACATACTTAAACATTGCATTAAGCTGTGATAGCTGGTCAGCATAACAGGATCCTGAAAAGAAGTGCTATCATTAATTGAATTATTTTCACCTGTGCTATTTCCTTTGTGACATGTCAACATGTATTCTGTGAAAAGGCCTTGCATCAATTAGAATTAACAGCAAGGCCTTGGTTTCAAATAACCATAAACCTGAGTTTCAGTAAAAAAAATCCTATGAGTTTTATAGCAAATACTGAGAATTTCTGCCATACATGCATCCATTTTTATAGCAGAAGGATGAGCACAAATGCATTTACCTGAACTATGGCAGGGTCCTGAGGCAAGGTGCTAGTGGATTTGGGTGGCTCACATACTGTTAGGTCTTTTATATCACTTCCTCGGAAGATGATGTACTCAAACACTTCCTCACGAGGTGGAATAGGCCTGTCAGTGGGCCGATCTTCAGTGCCGAAAGAGCGAACTGTTGGGAAAGTTAACAAAACAGCTACATTTTTTGACAGTATTGGGCTTTGTATTGAAGCTGAGCAGATCTTACGTCTGCTTTAACAAGGATACCGTTTAAATTTACTGTTTCTCAAAAAAAAAAAAGGGAAAATGAGCCTGGGCTAGCTAGAAGGTTAATTTTCATTCTGGGCAAATGTTAAAAAGGCTTTTGAAGAACCAAACTGTAATAACGACACAAATTAACACATTTGTCAGGTTTGTATTATTAGGATATGTACCTATAGTCATGGCGCGCTGACAGGTGAGTAACGTTACGTTACATAAGTTCACTTAACACACTTTCATAATAAAAACTTAAATATATGTCTTAGCTAATAACCCGTAAATACAATTATTAGAAACATGATTAGCAGCATGCCATTTACTTTCTACTATACAAGTAGTACTCAGTAGTAAGAAGCACATATTTAATCTTCAGCCAAACATAACGACGTAAACAAAGGACACAGAGCTGAATGGCAGCACCACTTAGCTACTAGTTGGCTAAAAAGCTAGCTAACCAGGCTGAAATTAACTTTATTTTCTACAGCGTAACACTTTTCCAGTGTGCATGTTACTCCACTGACAACTACAGTCCAGTTCTTGGTTATTTAACTTACCTTTAGCAAGAGCTACTGTCGAGTTTTCAGTGTCAATGGTGTACAAAATTCCTTCATAGCGGATCTCGGCCTTGGAGATGAGGCTAATCTTACTGCCAATGTACGGCGTCCCTCCTCCGCTCATGCTGGGCCCCTAATTTAAATGCACTTACTGTCACAGAATATGTTTTCTGTCAAACAAGAGAGCAGATGTGTTCTTTTCAGAGCTGTAGTTTTAAAGCTACATTAAATGAACTGGCCAGTTATACCGTGAGTCACACTCATACGCCTCTGAAGTGATTTCTACCACGACATGGCCGTTTTCATTTTCCTTCGCCCGCCGCTAAGGATGATGGGAAAAAGGCTGTGGCTCATTCTTCTAAAGTTGCCTCCCCTTTGGGTCACTTCTACCTGTTTATTTTATTTTATTTTATTTTTTTACTGCAAGAAGTGAGCTGGTAGAAACATGGCAAATTCAGTAATGTCTTGACTACACATGTAGTTGTGTCAACTTTAAGGATTGTTTTGGGGGAAGAAAACGACTCAATTAATTGCGGGGTGCCTATAAAATGTTTGAGATTTATCCATTTTATATCACGATAGTACACAGGGTTTTCCCTCTACACCCTACCCCTACATTGCCAGAGATTAGATTTTTAGATAACAATGTATTCGGCATGATTTGTCCACATTGAACTGCATTATTTTTAATTAGAAACAGTGAAACATAGCTACCTACAATGAAATGTCTATGGAGCAACATACAGTATATTATACGGGATAGTTGTCTGGCTTTATGATACTTGCACCGTTACAACAGTTACTCATTATACTCCACTAAATTAGACCTGAAAAAAAAAAAAAACTAGGATGTCCCTTCCATCAGATGACGTCAGATTCATTCCCACAATGCATAGTAACACGCAGGCGCACTGTTAAAAAAAAAAAAAAAAAAAAAAAAATTAAAAGCGCTATTTGTCAGAGATGGCGGGCGCCTCCGACCCCCTGGAAGATATGCTCTTTTCAGAGGTGGATGAAAAAGCTGTGAGCGACCTAGTGGGCTCATTGGAGTCACAGCTTGCTGGTCAAAGCAACCCAGCAGGTAAAACAGACGAAAACGGAGGTGCTGGCTCAGTGGCCCCCGCTAACCATCACTTAGGGAAAACGCTACCAGCTCCAGTGGGCACAACAACACTAGAACAACAACAAGGACGGCGTAATAAACCTGAGATGCACCAGGAGATCAACTCTAAAGACGTTAGCCCGGATAAAACGGTCACATCTCCTTCTCTGGGCTGCACCCCTCCTTTTGGCGAGCCTTCCACCACTTTGGCTGTCTGCGTGAACGCTACTAGCAGCGGTTCACAATCACATGGAGCATCCATCACAACACTGACTGCATCTGGTGTGTCAACATTGGCATCTCTGCCAGCCAGCATCAGCACCACATCCAGCCGTGGCTCTAAGGATTCCCCGGGGACAGGTGAGACGTCAACGGAAGCCAGTCCACCGAGAAAACGCATATCCACACCACGAAGGAGCACTTCGGCTCGGATAAAGACTTTGAACGGCGCAGCTGTAACGACGAGGAGGAACAGCACCACAGCAGTGGTTGAAAATGCTAGCTCTGTGGATACCGGTGCAACTATAGTAAACTCTTCTCGACCGGCGACATCCTCTATTAACACTTCGACTTTCACCTTATCTAACGCTAGCCTGCCTGTAGGTCAGTCGGCTATTGCTCTCGACCGAGGGACTCCTACCATTGCCTTACACAGACTCCCGAATCATATTGTAGCCAGTATAGCCCAGAACGGCAACGGGACCAATGTTTCGGCCTTGGTCCAGCAAGGCGCTCGCATAGGACCCGTCACCACTTCATCTTCACCTGAGAACCACAGCAAAACGGTCACAGACACAGGGACTTCCAAAACAGACGGTTGTCAACCCAAAATTGTAATGTCAAGCCCGACTGCTAGTGTCAATTCTGTAATAAACACTGTTTCCTCTGCATCTTCTGTTGTCACACCATCTACAACCACAGCAGCAGCAGCAGCAGCAGCAGCTACAGTCACTACAACACTAACCCAGCCTCTGAGCTCTGCCACAGCTGATGCTTGTGTTATAGGGGTGGCCACTAGTTCTGTATGTGGAACTGGTCAAACTACATCAGTGACTACTACTATTAGCATGATCAGGCCCACAGCGCCCTCTCCAACACCCACTGTGGCCACCTCTGCACAGCCTCAGCCCCGTCCTGGACTTACAGCACCTCAAAGGATCGTAGCCCCCCAGTTGATTGTCAGACCACCTCAACAGCAGACGACCATTCAGCTGCCCCCTGGGTTTACCATCCCACCGGGTAAGGTTTGCAGGAGCGCAGAAGAGCAACAGGAGGGTGTTGTTTACACCTGTGGTATAATACTCTTTCCTGAGGCTTAGTAGTGTGTTTGTCAGTATGATGCTGTGTCTTCAGTATGATGAGGTGACATCCAGGTTGGTTATTCCAAGTTATCCTGTGTGCATATTGTAAGTTTTATAGGATGGTGCCTGCTGCTGAGGTAAAATGTGCCTTTTGATATATGCATGTATTCATAGTAGCTGCAGAGAGTTTTAACATGGATGGACCCAGTGGGAATCAAACAGTGCTATGCTGTTGTGCAACAGTATTAAATTTAGACAAAGCATCATTTACATACATCAGGAAGCCACAACTGTAAATGGAATTTTTAGAAATGAGACACACTTTGCATGAAGTTTTCACTGAAACAATATCAAATAAAATGTATCTGTACATTTCAGTAATCTAGCTGATGCTGAAATATTTGATTTAAGTCTCCATAAGAGAGTGTTTTTGCTCACAAGAAAAACACCTTGATGTGGCCATGCTGCTACACTTAAAGCTCAAGGTGAATGGTTTATTGGGTCCTGTCAGGAGAGGACAGGGCTCTTTCCAATGGAATCATATAGATGACCACCAGTGTGATCACAAACACATACAAAGCACATACTACTAATAAAATGCCACATGCTCAAACAGGCACTTAAAAACATTTTAATCTGCTACAGTAACTTGGTGAATGGTGGCTAATTATGGAACTGTCACCAAAGTTTCACACTTTTCACAACAGCATTTCTAAGACCAGTAATTAGAAGCTTTTCATTTGCCAAATACACAATATATGGAGGAATTTGTCTTTATGTTTGTGCAAACACATCAGCAATGTGAAATGTTTACCCATAGTGCATCAAGACACTAAATTACATACTATGGCTACTTGAGGTTGTACAAGGTGACAGAATATCATTAGGTGTTTGATGACAACAGAAAGGTGGTGCTACTTTTTGAAAAGTGGTACCTGATTAAAATACAGTGGCATTACTTTTACTGGCATAGTATTACTGCTTCGTGAGAAATAGCAACTTATTAAGTTAGGGCCTGTCGACTTCCACGTACAGTAAATACTGCAGCATTTCGGACGCCCCAGTACAGCCACCATATTCTGCAGGTAGTAACTTCCAAGAAGCTGGTATTCTGTTATAGAGTAAAAATAGCAGGTAATAACTGTGGACACTGGTCAGAATAGTTTGCGTGCTGCCCTGCTGTGTTGTCATGGATGTTATTCTGAGTCACCTCACCTCAAATAATGACACAGTCAGATATGCTATTAACCTCTCTATGGCCTTTATAAACAAATGTGTAATAAAGCATTTAATCTTAACCTGAAGTGCAACCCCAGCCTTTTGGAAAGAGCAAGGCCTCTATTTAATTAGTGCATGATAACACCTTCAATCAAGTTCCTAACCCCCACATTGTCATTTGTTAATTAGTATGATAAACAGCAAGGTGTAGATCTTTTCTTGGAATGCTAATGTTTCAAAATCACATTTTAAACAGTATTATAGTGCAAAGAAATAAGCAATCATACAGTACAGATAAAATTAGATTCCTGATGGATCTAAATAACAGGTGAAAAAAGTCAACAATAGGACCCTGCAGGGTGTATTGTCACCTATTCTGTGACTGCTTGCAACAAGCTTTTGTTTATTGTCCTTTTATGTCTTTGCTAAGCCTGTTTCACCCACGGTTAGGATGTAACACAAGGCAATGTGCAGTTTCTGTGGTTAATTGCAGTTTTTTATACAATTATGTGTATTTAAATATTTGACTCAAGACTACTTAAGGTGTCTTGTTACACAGTTTTAACTGACACTTTCCAAATACTTCAGAAGTATGTGTTTTCTGTTGTTATGGCATTACACCAGTCACCATCCAATCCCAATGCACTGAACATAGCCTAATCATTAGCTTCTGTTTGGTGCCATTTAAAGTGGTAATCAAGCAGTCTCTTATGTTGATTATTTACTGCCTCACACTTTGTTCATTTTTGTCATAGTTTTTTCCTAAAGTTTGCTTGTTTGGTTTTACATTGCATTCACACTGGCTGCTTGTTTAGCACATTTGCTAGTATGGGCTTTAGAATGCAGACCTCCTTTGTGATGATACTTGGTTATGTGTGCTGGTGGTCAACAGAATGCCCAAGTATACAGATACAAAATGTATCAGCATTTGACTAGCTGTTGGTTTATTATCTTTCAGTGACTGTGATATTATAATGTGTTATCCATATAATGTTGTTAGGCTAGTGGTTAAGGCGCAGCGCTCTTGCCGCTGCGGCCCAGGTTCGAATCAGGGTTGCGTCAGGAAGGGCATCTGGCGTAAAACACGTGCCAAATGTCAACATGCGAGTCGTCAGTGTGACGATTCGCTGTGGCGACCCCTAAACAGGAAAAGCCGAAAGTGACTTTCTATCCATATAATGTTGTTGTCCCATTGTTCTTCAGGAATGGTGCTGGTGCGTACTGAGTTGGGCCAGCTGGTAATGGTTCCTCAGCAGGCTTTGGCTCAAGCTCAGGCTCAAGCTCAGGCCCAGGCTCAGAACAACATCTCTCCACGACCTGCCACACCTACCACAGGAGCATCTTTCAGAGTTACAACTCCACAGGTGAGACTGTTCTACAGAACCCACATGGTAGCTACCACCTGTAGACTTTCAGTAAGGAATCACACATTTCTACTGCTCATATAATGTTTCTTTATAGCTAGACAGGGAGAAAAGAAGCAGATGTGAGACAGGGTAAAGAACTGTGCTATGCAAATACATGTCTGGTTGTATTTATTGTATCCCTGGTTTTGTTTCATTTTTGTTTCCTGTCACTGTACAGATGATGGATCATCTGATTTGTTTGTGTGTATATGTTGCATACAATTTACTTGTGAAATATTCCTTTCCAGAGATTTAATCTTAAATTTGTGATTTTCATTGTGGGTAGAAACAAAACCGTGGTCTGTGCATGTTTTGTAAATCAGATGTAGGGTGATCTTATTTTTCTCTTTCTTATTTCTTTGCAATAAGAACTCTTGTCTTAGTAGATGAGGAGGGCCGTCATCTGGATCATTTGTAAATTCTTTTGCTGCCTGATGGAAAAGACTTTGTGACACTGCACCATTTGTGAATGAGGCTTGTGTCACTAAATTTGCAACCATAATTAACCTTCTCTACTGTGATAAACACTTCAAATGTATGATTTAATACTAATTTATCATGTAGTTTAAATTTGTTACCAACCATTTATACACAGTGTATAAAATGCCAGGGACTTGAGCTCATCTGGCAAAAATAGAGCATGTGTATAAAACAGTTAAATTTTCTGAAGCTGGTTTAACAGAGAACATAGCTTTATGTAGCCAATACAATGTATTGAAAAATACAGGTCAGTTCAGATCCTGTGGATTGGATCAAATCACATATTCTTTTCCCTGCTCCTATATATAGAATTAAATACATTTTTGTTTATGAGTTATTTAGGCAGCACAGTGGCTAGCATTATCTCCTGGCAATGTTGTGAGTGTGAATGTCATCCCTGGTCTGTTCTGTGTGGCCTTTGCATGTTTTCCCCATAGATCTTCTCCCATACCAAAAGACATAAATGAAGGTATTAGCCCACATTCAGACAGACTTTAAATTTGCATGAAAAATGCAGCCTTTATTATTCATTTGGGCGGGGTAACTGTGTTGCGCAGTGGAGACTGGCGCCACAGGGGGTGCTGCCAAAATGACACAACCTTGTGCAGAAAAAAAGTTGATTCTTGTTTAACTTTTTCTGCAGCGTAATGTGATATCATCCAGCAAGATGTATACCTATTGTGTATTCAAGCACACATTCCCAGTATCTTGCTTAGTAACGTGAATGCCATATATGTGCTGTTTGCCTCAAGACGGTCACAGCCAAAAATAAAACAGATTCAGCTCTGATGATTTTCCAGAGTTGTATAGTCCTGTTTGTGAGTATTACAAACCACTGTGCCTTGTATTGTCTAAAAAGCTTTAAACATATAAATCCTCCACAGGACTTCCCAGATCTTATTTCATTGTCTCACTTGTGCACCCACACCAGTGCAGCCTCCTGCCTTGTTTCAGTGTAGGAAAATGTCTCTCTGAATGCAGCCTAAGAAATACTGTTCCCCGTGCCTTTAAAAAGGGGAACTGGCCTCAAGTTTGGAGATGGTCCCTGGGTGCTATTTGGGCTGCCCGCTGCTCCTAAATATTTAGAACAGGTAACTTTCACCACATGATTTATTACGTGCTACTGGGATGTCACAGTGATATACAGTTCCGCTAACATGTACTGACAAAATGTTCTAAGCACATCTGTGCACATCTAGAAATGTACCAGCCTCCATTGTTTTAAACCTGTAGAAACAGTCCAGCATGAAGTGTTTTTGAAAGGACCAAGTAAGACAGTCTCTCTTTTGTTCAGATGGTGCTGCAAGACATTTTGATACATCCAACAATCAAAGTCAAAATGGCACAGTAGATCTCTGTGTCCTCAGTATATCAGAGAACAAAGTTTGATCACATAGGTTGAACTATGGACAGTTCTTGGTGCTGAAATGACATCCAATACCCTAACCAGATGAATAACAGATACAAGTAGAACATAACTTTAATTAGACAATATCATGTCTTTTCAGGTTAGTCATGTTTAATTTATAAAGTAATTTAGATTGGAAGATCATGTCACTTTCTAGCAGCAACCATTTTGTTGCAAAACAAGCATTGACACATTTAAAAATAAGATGCACATATCTTTTGTAACAGTTTTTTAGCCTCAGAATTCTAATCAAAGCCTTGCTCTTATAATTGGATGTGGCATCAAAGAATGGCTGCCCTGTTTAAGCTCAGTGCAGAAAGTGGTTTTCAATATGAGGATTAATAAAGTAGAATAAAAATAAAAGAATCAAAGTTTTCAAAAAGCATACTGTATGTTACCGCATCATTCTATATGCAGTTTCAGACATCTAGGTATCATAGTAAGGATACAGAAGTTACAGAAGGAAACAAGGGATAAAAAGATTTCCGGGTTGCAAGCGCGAGCAGACGTCTTTACTGCTCCTCTTGTCTGTTCTACGATTTTTCACATCTTCTACATTTTCAAGTCTTTGAACAAATTCTACAACTATTAAAATGCCTCCAAGAGGGAAAAGAGCTAATAAATCAGAAGGGAACGAGGATGTTGAAGCAGAAGAGGATTATATTTCAGCAGCGCAAGTAACAGAGATGTTGAGTCAGCAGAAGCAGATGTACACTGCACTGTTGAGCCAACAACAAGACAACTTCAAAGGTTTTGTGCAACTACTTATGGAGACAAATAACAAGAGACTCGACGACATGACCAGAGAAATACAGGAGATAAAAACGAGTTTGCAGTTTACCCAGCGAGATGTGGATGTGATTAAAGCAGCCATGGGTGAACAGAAAATACAAACCAAGGAAACAAAGGATGATGTCTACAAAA